TGTGGCGCCGCTGCTCCATCTCCCGTCTGTGTGCGATGGCCGCCTGTTTGGCCTTCTCGTAGCCAAGCTGCTTGACGGAGAAGGACTTGCTTTTCCTACCGCCGCCCTCACGCCATTCGGCAATCCATGAGTTGCTGCTCTCGATGTACCTCACGCCCTTGACGCCGCTCTGGCCAGATCTCTGCTTGACTACTGCCCTCCCCGTACGCTCCATCTCAAGACGATGCTGCTCGGCCAACGCCTGATACACACGGCACACATGAGAGAGATTGACGACCGCCGTTGGCGTCGCTGTTGTCAGTACCTTTGCTTTGTCGAAACCGTGATGTTTGACATAGAAGTACTTGCTCTTCATCTTGGGGTCCCCTCTCTCGTACCAAGTCGCCCTCCACGCCTTGTTCTTTTTCGCCCAGGAGACGCCACGGACGTCTGACTGGTACCTGCCCTCGCTGGCGTCGGGCGTCGGTGCTCCGTCGTGGGCTGGGGGGCAGCTGCCGAGCGGATGTGTGTGGCGCGTCTTCGGCGATGGGCTGCGATCGACGGCTGACTCCTCATCGGCGGGCCCCGCCGACGGGGTGACTCTCTCCCCGCACACAGTGGACTGACGCCGATGACCATGGCGACGTTTGGCCGACAGACCTGGAGAAAACAATACAGACAGCCACAACTGCTGGGTGAGTGACACGCACAGGGTGGGTACCTTTGTGACGGCGTGGCTCGTTGTGAGGTGGCTCAGCCACCCCACCACCAGCAGCAGCAGGGGGCATACACGAGGGGCCGGGGGCACCGATGGGTAGCGCGTCGGTGGCGCGGCCAGGAGCGCCGCTCGACTCTGCACACACGAAAAGACAGCAGCACGCACACAATGATATGCATCAAAGTCCCCCAGCCTCCTGTCATCCCGACCATGTAATGGCCTGCCTCTGCGGCCCTTGGGCTCAACGCGGGGCGGCATGGGGTCACGCTTGTCAAGTGGCGGCGGCATGGACCTGTGGCGCTCGAGAGGTGAATTGCCATCCACTGCTGCCCCTCGCTGCGCCTCCTCGAGCCACGAGAGGTCGATGAGCACCGCCTGGTCGCCCAGACGCGAGCTGTGCAGGGCGTTGCGATACTCGACGGCTTGGCGGAAGGCCGTGAAGATGGCCTCACGGGAAGTGACGTCCTCACCAACACCGAACTGACGAAGATCCACAGCGGCTGCAGCCTGGCTGTCCCAGAAGTAGCCCTCGAATACACAGGTTGCCCGCCATGAGACGCCGACACTAACACACACACATATCCAGAGACGAGTCGCTTATGACATCCGGCCGTTCATTGTCGCTGCGAGTCGTCCTCCCTCGCTTACCCTCCGTTGTTGAGGCAGAGTGAGTGGACATTTGGCTGCTCCTGACGCAGCCGCCGCATCAGTCCACGACCCAAAGCGTCGCCCGTCAGCCCGCCCAGATCGTAGCGGTCAGACGAAGGCGAGAGGCCGCCATCCTCCTCGTCCATCCGCCGCTGCTTGTTGCCTGGGCTGCCGGTGCGGCCCTCGAGTGAGCCACTGCTGTCGCTGCCGCTCGACGGAGGCGCCCCTCTCTCGAATGGGGAGTGCCGCTGCTCCATCAAGGCCCGTTTGTGCCGGGTGGCGGTATCCGTAACAGCCTCGTAGCCCAGCCTGGTGTGCTGCCGATTGGTCTTCTGAAGCTGTTTGATGAATCGACTGGCGGCCTCCTTGATGTCCTCGCCGTCACGCTGCCCCACCATGGCCGGCAGCTCGTGACGCACAAACGAGTCGATGGACGCAAAGCTCAGAGAGGGGACGGCCGCCAGCATCGCCCCAATGTTGTGACCCACTTGACCATACTCGCGACAGAGGACCATCCGCTGGGCGTGTGTCATGGGCTGCTGGTCCTCAGTGCCGTCCATGTCCATCTCCTGCTGGCGGCATGCCCAAGCGGCATCGATGGCCGCCCCCATGGCCTCCCTGGTGGCCGCTGAGAGGGGCACCGACTGCACTGGGGTGCCGGGCAGGACCACCTCCACGGCCAGC